CGTAGAAGACCGTAAGAGCTATAGCAAGAATGGGTCGTAGAAGACCGTAAGAGGGGTAGCAAGAATGGGTCGTAGAAGACCGTAAGAGCTATAGCAAGAATGGGTCGTAGAAGACCGTAAGAGGGATAGCAAGAATGGGTCGTAGAAGACCGTAAGAGCTATAGCAAGAATGGGTCGTAGAAGACCGTAAGAGGGATAGCAAGAATGGGTCGTAGAAGACCGTAAGAGGGATAACAAGAATGGGTCGTAGAAGAAGACCGTAAGAGGGATAGCAAGAATGGGTCGTAGAAGACCGTAAGAGAGATAGCAAGAATGAGTCGTAGAAGACCGTAAGAGGTATAGCAAGAATGGGTCGTAGAAGACCGTAAGAGGGATAGCAAGAATGGGTCGTAGAAGACCGTAAGAGGGATAGCAAGAATGGGTCGTAGAAGACCGTAAGAGGGATAGCAAGAATGGGTCGTAGAAGACCGTAAGAGGGATAGCAAGAATGGGTCGTAGAAGGTCAGGGGAGTGTTTTTTCTTACAAAATTCACGGGAAGAACTAAATACATAATGTGTTACCGCACCTGGTGAATTGGGGAGGTAATCAAGTTTGATCCAAGGAAGGGGAAGAGAGCTCCAGTTCCTTAGATCAAGAACCCTTCACCAACATCCAGACACCCCACTTTGAAAGGGGGTATCTGTTGCATTTTTTCTGAAATATAAACAAAAAATCCGTAACAGGAGAAAGCTTCTTGACCTGGTGAATACTGTGTGTGTGTGTGTGTGTGTGTGTGTGTGTGTGTGTGTGTGTGTGAAGGTTGGATGCTGTGGTTGCTCTTGTGGGATGGGCCATGATCCCATACATTACACATTGTTTAATTACTTATTACATATCCCGGCTAACACCAGCTCTCGGCACAACAATCAAGTGTTCGACACAACATTCACGTGTTGTTCTTCTCTCTCTACAACCCTGGCAGGATGTGAGTGCTGTGACCCGGGTTCACAACACCTGTGAAGGGTTGGATTCCGGATGAACCTGCCTTCTTACTTCCACTAGTGAATCCTGTCTCCTGCAACGTCTTCGAGATCTTCCACTTCACCTTCGACAGTATTTAAGATACTACATTCTCATGATTCAGCTTCACTTCGTTCCAGACCATGAAGCTGAACTCTTCTCCAGGCTGAGGGACTCCCTCCTTTACATCTAATATCCAGTTTTTCATTATTTGGTGATGAGAAGGAACAGGTGGAAGAGCACATAGAGATCGGGTAGTCGGGAGAAAGAACAGGAAGAAAGTATAGGGATGGCGTAGTGGAAAGAATAAAGAGGTGGAGAACTGGAAACGTAATAGTAGACAGCGCCGGTACAACCCATTAGGTGAACAAGGGTGGCCAAGGGCGACATAAAATAAAAATAGAAGTATTTTTGTATTGGCAACAATTTCACTGCTCCACTTTCAGTTACATTTGAAGGCCATGGAGCGCAGTTTAGTCGATGAATTGAGAAGCTTAGCGGGCAAGAGCAGACGAGGCTTTAGCTGGCGAGAGGACGGAGGGAAGAGGTGCGCAGTTGTTACAGTCGAGTTGTTCTTCAGGAAGGTAGTAGAACCACGTGTTTGAGGTGGAATCCATCGCCCAACCATGCTCAGCCATGATGACTAATGGTGTTTTTTTTTTAATGGGTGGACCGGTAAGCCATTAGAAGGCTTCGGTCAGTGACCAAAAGTTCCAGAGGCGGGTCACTTAAATGACAAAGAACCGCACCCGCACATAGCCTACTACTGCCCTAGCAGGCGACCCCGTATCCCCACGCAGTCTTACCTTTTGTCTGTAAATTCTGTATGGAGGTAGAGACTGGCTCAAAAAAAGATTCGCAAGATGGACGAAATACCGTGACACCGCTACTGACAGCGGGAAGCAACAAGAGAAGTCACAGGTGACGAAGTTAAGCTAGGGACGAGGGTCGTGCATTTGGACACTTGATGATACCCGGTGGGTCTCCATACACAAATATTACCATGAATCACCTAATATACTTATTTTTCTTTATACGAAGCACTAAACTCGTGTTGAGTCATTGAGAACAAGAGTATATGAAGGCTCAATCCTTCGTCCGCAAATCGCTTGGAAGACACGAATATTACTAACACTGTCAGAAACCTTTCCTAGGATAGACTGAAGGAAATGAATTTGCACTTTTTTGGAAGAACGTAAACTGGGGGAAGATACACCCGGAGTGTACAAAGGGAAACAGGAATAAATAAAGAGAATATAAATAATGTACTGAAAGTACGTAAGATAGGAGTCGCAGTAAAGGATTCAAGTTGGCCAAATTTAGATATAGAAAGGATATAGAGAAGTACTGGTTTGGCAACAGAGTTGTAGATGAGTGGTAGAAACTCCCAGGCAGCGTCACAGAGGCGAAATCTCTGGGTAGCTTTAATATAGGTTGGACGGGTACATGAGTGGGCGTGGGTTGGCCAAGAGGCCTACTGCAGGGCAAGAAACCTTCAACAAAGCCCTCGTCGACCCAGACAATAAACACAGTGCAAAACCTTACACCTTTTTAAAACTTAATATTAAACTTAAAAACAACAACTTAGAAACGAACTGAAAAAAATCAAAATAATAGGTGAAGTATAGCTGTGAGTTTCAAGACCTTGAATGATAAATCATACCAATTTAAGGTAATTCTATACTATTTACAACGGTTTGCAGTTTAGCACTAATAACACCAGTGATAATACTCTGAGAGCTACGCTGTTTTTAATAATAATAATAATAATAATAATAATAATAAATTATTATATTATTATTATTATATTATTATTATTATTATTATTATTATTATTATTATTATTATTATTAAGGGACGGTCTTCGTTATGTTGAAAACTGTCTCTCGAGATAACTTGTGCAGACAAGTGATAATCTTAACGTATTGATTACTTCCTTGATAACCTCCGCCCCGTCATCAACGTGAACTCCAGTGGATGTCTAGTGACATTACACCAGTGGATGTCTAGTGACATTACACCAGTGGGTGTCTGGTGACATTACACCAGTGGGTGTCTGGTGACATTACACCAGTGGGTGTCTGGTGACATTACACCAGTGGGTGTCTGGTGACATTACACCAGTGGATGTCTAGTGACATTACACCAGTGGGTGTCTAGTGACATTACACCAGTGGGTGTCTGGTGACATTACACCAGTGGGTGTCTGGTGACATTACACCAGTGGGTGTCTAGTGACATTACACCAGTGGGTGTCTAGTGACATTACACCAGTGGATGTCTAGTGACATTACACCAGTGGGTGTCTGGTGACATTACACCAGTGGGTGTCTGGTGACATTACACCAGTGGATATCTAGTGACATTACACCAGTGGGTGTCTAGTGACATTACACCAGTGGATGTCTAGTGACATTACACCAGTGGGTGTCTGGTGACATTACACCAGTGGGTGTCTGGTGACATTACACCAGTGGGTGTCTAGTGACATTACACCAGTGGGTGTCTGGTGACATTACACCAGTGGGTGTCTGGTGACATTACACCAGTGGGTGTCTAGTGACATTACATCAGTGGGTGTCTAGTGACATTACACCAGTGGGTGTCTGGTGACATTACACCAGTGGGTGTCTGGTGACATTACACCAGTGGGTGTCTGGTGACATTACACCAGTGGGTGTCTGGTGACATTACACCAGTGGGTGTCTGGTGACATTACACCAGTGGGTGTCTGGTGACATTACACCACTGGGTGTCTAGTGACATCACACCACTGGGTGTCTAGTGACATCACACCACTGGGTGTCTAGTGACATCACACCATTGGGTGCCTCTTGACATCACACCAGTGGGTGTCTAGTGACATCACACCAGTGGGTGTCTAGTGACATCACACCAGTGGGTTTAGTGAAATCACCAATGGGTGTCTAGTGACATCATACCAGTGGGTGTCCAGTGACATCACGCCAGTGGGTGTCCAGTGACATCACGCCAGTGAGTGTCCAGTGACATCACGCCAGTGGGTGTCCAGTGACATCACGCCAGTGGGTGTCCAGTGACATCACGCCAGTGTCCAGTGACATCACGCCAGTGGGTGCCCAGTGACATCACGCCAGTGGGTGCCCAGTGACATCACGCCAGTGGGTGTCCAGTGACATCACGCCAGTGGGTGTCCAGTGACATCACACCAGTAGGTGTCCAGTGACATCACGCCAGTGGGTGCCTAGTGACATCACACCAGTGGGTGTCTAGTGACATCACACCAGTGGTTGTCTAGTGACATCACACCCGTGAGTGTTTAGTGAAATCACACCAGTGGGTGTCTAGTGACATCATATCAGTGGGTGTCGTGACATCACACCAGGGGGCCCGGTGACATTACACCAGGTGTCCAGTGACATCACGCCAGTGGGTGTCTAGTGACATCACGCCAGTGGGTGTCTAGTAACATCACATCAGTGGGTGTCTAGTGACATTACACCAGTGGGTGTCTAGTGACATCACATCAGTGGGTGTCTAGTAACATCACATCAGTGGGTGTCCAGTGACATCACACCAGTGGGTGTCCAGTGGCATTACACCAGTGGGTGTCTAGTAACATCACATCAGTGGGTGTCCAGTGACATCACACCAGTGGGTGTCCAGTGGCATTACACCAGTGGGTGTCTAGTGACATCACACCAGTGGGTGTCTAGTGACATCACATCAGTGGGTGTCCAGTGACATCACACCAGTGGGTGTCCAGTGGCATTACACCAGTGGGTGTCTAGTGACATCACACCAGTGGGTGTCTAGTGACATCACATCAGTGGGTGTCTAGTGACATTAAACCAGTGGGTGTCTAGTGACATCACATCAGTGGGTGTTTAGTGACATCACTCTAGTGGGGACGTAAAGACACTGAAGCAACACCACACCCACTGAACATTCAACATCCATCTATTGAACATTCACCCACCTTTAAAAACACATAAATCAAAGCAGAAAAGGAATAACTTAC